AACAGACAACCTACAGAATGGGAGGAGATATTTGCAAACTATACATCTGATAAAAGACTAATATCCAGAATCGACAAAGAACTCAAACAAATCAGTAAAAACAAAGCAAATAACCCCATTTAAAAGTGGGCAAATGACATGAACAGACATCTCTCAAAAAAAGATTAGCAAATAGCCAACAGACATTTGAAAAAATGCTCAACATCACTCATCATCAGGGAAATGCAAACTAAAACCGCAATGAGATACCACCTTCCTCCTGTCAGAATGGCCACTATTTAAAAATCCAAAAACAATAGAGGCTGGAAAGGAGGCCGAGAAATGGGAATACTTATACACCATTGGGAGTGTAAATTAGTACGACCTCCATGGAAAGCAATATGGAGATTTCTCAAACTAAAAGTTAGATCTACTATTTGATCCAGCAATTCCATTACTAGGTAAGCTACCCCAAAGAACAGAAATCATTATATGAAAAAGACACCTGCACCCGCATGTTCATTGCAGCACAATTCACAATTGCAAAGATGCGGAATCAACCTAAATGCCCATCAGCCAATCAGTGGATAATTAAAATATGGTATATATATATATACTATAGAATATTATTCAGCTAACAAAAAAAATCTGGGTTTTTGGGGGGTCCCCCTAGCACAATACCATGATATCTACAACGTAACTTTCAATTGGTTCAGCCAGAGATAGAGAGGAGGAGATAGAAAGCAAATCTGGCAAAATGTTTGGTCCAATTGTTTGGTTCAAGTGTTGGTTCTTGGAACACTTATGTACCATTTTCCCAAGTTTTCCGTGTGCTGGTAAATTTTCATAACAAGATTTGGGAGAAAAGATTGCATCCTGATGATCAAATTATTTAGATGAGTAGTAACTCTATTGCACATTTTCCTAACTAAACTAAGGAAGACTTTGTGTCCTCGATGTAGAAATAAAGATTTCAGGATATCCACAGGAGGCCTGACAAAATGGCAAGTTTACTCTTGTAAATTACTGTAAACATATGTCTTCACAGGACACACCTTTACTCCAACTCACTTTGGGAGTTGAAAATGCAGGCTATACGCCATATATTTCACTAATGCAAACATATCTGGCACACAGATAGAAATCAAAGGGTGTGGGAGGACAAGTAAAACCAAAGTTATTTAAGAGGCAGTGTCTAGCTGCTGACAAAACCTCTCTTTGCTTCAGCCTCTGTAAGGACACTTGTGCTACCCGGAAACAGCATTTCTACAGGTAAGATTTGGTTCTTTGGCCACTTGGGAGAACATTCTAAGTGCCTGCAATTGAGAACCAATTTCTCTGAGCATAATTTTGTGCAATTTCTCAATAATGTGTGAGGTAATTCTATTATCTCCCATGTCTATTTTTCATTTCTGATTTTTCTTGTTTGCTATTAATGACTTTCAGCAGGTTGGGGGAAGAGGTGATGGAAAGACAGGAAAGAAATCCAAGAGAAAGCAGAGGGAAAGTGCTTGTGTGTGCCAGCGCACATACGTCTGAGCAATTGCACTGGTCCCTCACTGGGGCCTTACATCTAATAACAAACTCATCTCCCAAGCCCTCCCAACTGTTAAATTTCACAGTTGAGGCACAGGCCTAAGTAGTAGAGGAGAACTTCCGATGCCTTGATTCTGGGCTTTCATCGTTGACTTGTTGCAAACTCAATGCTATCATCCAGGAGACTCCTATGCAAAGGACAGACACTAATATTTGTATGGCATTGTACAACTTTTAGAATGCTTTGTTATTTTTGTTCTTCAAATATGTATAACATTCCTGGGAGTTAAATATCAAGCCCAATTCGCAGACGAATACACTAAGAATCAGAAAGTGGCCCTGCTATTCAACTAGGTAGCAGGCCCAGCTGTTGAATCCATGCCTCCAAAAGAGAATCCTGTTCATTCCACCCTACATGACTTGTGTGAAGACAGTACTAATACTTTCTCCTTGCCTGTCCTTTAACCCAAAGCACTCAGTACACGCCTGAAAAATGAAATAAAGTCCTTGTGATTTGAAGCCCAGTTAACTGGAAGTTATTTAGGGAGTAGTAGCCAAAAGAGTAGGAGTTCTAGAATCAGAGTCTAGGCTTATATCACACTTCAATTTAAAAATGGTGTGACCCTTGGTGAGTTATGTCCCTACCTGGGCCTCATACTTACCCCACAGGGCTATTTTGAGGATTAAATAAAATAAGACGGGACAGGTGCACAGTGCCATTTAGCACTTGATAAATGTTTCCTCGTCGAAATGCTTCATTTTTTCTTTCCTGACTGCCTGGTTGCCACAGCTGCCCAAGGACCCACCTGGGAGCAATCATCTTTTCTGGCCAGCACTTCCAGGTATCAAGGCTCAGGTGCATTTTGTTCTTTTGTTCCAAATCTTAATGATTTCAGTGGTCTGAGAATGAGGTTTATTAGTTCAAGAAACATTTAAGTAATGAATCATGGCAGAAATGTCAAAACTCTCGTCCTCTGAGTTCTCCCAAAGCATAATGACTTTCATAGCAAATCCTGAATTTCTTTCAAGATAAATCATCTACCTTGAGAACAAACATTCTTGTACAGAAAAGTTATGAAGCAACTCCCAGTCCTCTCTTGTTCTTCATATAAAAATCTCATGGCCCAGAATACCTTCTGTATTGCTTTTAATGGATGTTAAGGTATGACTTTGTTTCATCATTGTAATATACTACATGTTTCCAGCATTGAGCTTAAGCCAGAAAAGTCTACATAAGCTTAGAGAAGAGAGTAAATTTTCTGCAGCTTGGTCATTTTCCTGATTGTAAGCTTGAAATCTGTATTGACTCTTAATGAAGGAATTAAGTGGAAATCCCCCAAATTTTCCAATGATGATACCTTTTAGAATATATAATATGCTCAATAAATTCAAATTGGGCAGATCTGTAATGCCTTTTCTCCTTGCTCTGTCTTGAAGGCAGCCTTCTCGACAAAACTCAAATGCAATTCTCCCTGCCGATTTTTCTTCACTCTGCTCCTGGAAACCAGACTTCTTGTTACATGACCCGTGACCAAGCCCCTGTGGGTTTGTACCTGCACCACTTACCATTCTGCCATCTTGTATTTGCTTATCCTCCAGAATCAGTCTCTGTCTGTTCTCTTCAAGGGCAAAGACTGCAGTCACTCGGCCTCTTTGAAACTCAATACCTGTTCTGAACCTAATTTGTGGTCAGTAAATACTCACTGGATGCAATGAAGACCCAAATGCTTTCCTGGGGAGTTTCCTTCCCTTTAAAACCCACATAAATATTTCCAATGGCGCTCTGGCAATAATGTTCTCTTTCTATCTTATCTCAGTAAGAATTTCTGGCTAGATAGGGCTAACAGCAAGAACAAGGCAACCTGGGTCCTTTGACATTCTCACTTTGGGTCCCAGGAACATCTTAAAGGTAATACCTGAAACTTAAAATGAAGGAGACGTCGTGAAAGACAATTCTTTATACCAGACTCAACATCTTCCCTTTTTCTGGAGGGGTAGGGAGTTCTATATTACTTCGTATTTAGGAGCCTGAGCAATGAAGTCCCTGTGTGGGTTTAAATTTCACTCCTACAATTATTAGCAGTGTGACCATGGACTAGTTTGTTCGGCTTCATAGTAACTCTGTTCTCTCAACTGTAAGACAGGACAACTCTCGTGAGAGTTCAATTACTTGATGAATGTGCTGAGCACCTAGAATTTGCCATCGTGTTAATAATAATAATAATGGCAGGGTTGCTGCTATAATTATTGTTGTCGTAGTAGTAGATGTTGTTGTTGCTATTGTGATGGTAGTCGTTATTGCCTCAAACTGCTCTGGTCTGTTTTAATATGGGTTTTGTATACATCCATGTCTAATTTCTGTATGAAATGATTGTGAAAGAATGTTCACGTATAACAAATATGATTACCAAAAGTCAAGAAAGTGTCACTAAACACAGAAATGCTCTCATTTGTTAAGGTGACTCTGGGAAGAGGACGTATTACTGTAAAAAAAAATCTATTCTACTGGCAAACCTGAACTGCAACTCAAGGAATCTCTGTCCTTAATGCCAATATTGCCTATTTGACCAGGTAGCTGTGCTACCTTAATAAAGCTACTCAATATTTGTGTACTTGCCATAAAATAGCAATAATTATACCTGGCTTGCCTCTCAGAAAGATATTGTAAGGATCCGGTGAAAATGCACAAAGGGTTTATGTATGTTGTAATATTATTTCTATATTATTGAACAATTGCCTAATGAAAAGCAAATTTCTGTTAGATATAAGATCATAAAGTGTTTTCCTAGAATAGAAAAATTCCTGGACCAAGAATCCAAAGTCTTAGTTTGCTAGTCAAATAATACTGGGCTAATCAAGGTCCAAAGGTTTTATGTCTTTAATTGTGACGCTTACTCAAGTTTTGGAACTACCTTTAGGTTAAATTAGATTTTATGTAGCCGGGTTCGGTGACTCAGCCTGTAATCCCACGCCTTTGGGAGGCTGAGGTGAGTGGGTTGCCTGACCCCGTGGGTTCAAGACCCACCTGGGCAGCGAGACCTCATCTCTACAATAAATCAAAAAATCAGCCAGGCATGGTAGCGCATGCCTGTAATTCCGCCTACGCGGAAGGCTGAGACGGAAGGATCGCCCGAGCCCAGCAGGTCGAGGTCGCGGTGGCCGGGAGCGGCCACTGCACTCCAGTCTGAGCGACAGAGTGAGACTCCAACTCAAAAAAAAAAAAAAAAAGATTTTATGTAAGAAATTGCAACATACATCAGGAAGGTTCTTCTTAAAATAACATATTCTCATAATTGTTATTTATGTAATTTAAAAATTCAAAAATATTCACTAAATTGTTGCTAATATACAGAAATAGGAAGATGGATTCTCAAAGGTAAATCTTGTACTAAATTCTTCATGTGCACTGCAGCTGTTGTCATTGTGTATGGATTTATCAGTCACCTTTTTCTTTATTAGGACATTCCTTTCGTCAGTCAATCAACATGGATGCGATGTTGGATACCATCACATTTTTAGGAAAATTTCTATATTACTTTGTAGAATCTTTGGCTTACAAGATCATTCCCAGGGGGAAAAAGAACATAGCTGGAGAGATTGTACTTATAACAGGAGCTGGAAGTGGACTTGGAAGGCTATTGGCCTTGCATTTTGCCAGTCATGGAGCCATTTTAGTTCTATGGGACATTAATGAAGAAGGCAATATGGAAACATGTAGACTGGCCAAAGAAAAAGGTGACGTGAAAGTATTTGTTTATAAGTGTGACTGTAGCAACAGGCTAGAGGTCTACAGAGTTGCTGATCAGGTAAGCTAATTGATGTTCTTTTGCTTCTGTGCTCCCCCCAAATAATGCAGTTTTACTAAGACAGCAGGAGGAAAGCTTGTCATAAGATTTCCCGAAGATTTCTATGTGTCTCCTGCTTAATTCTGCATACCAGAAATTGGATTTTGTAACTTCCAAAGAAGCATAATCTCCAAAGCAGCAGCATAGCACAAAACAATGCAAGTGGGAATCTGATAAGCCTTCTGAACTCAATGTTGCTGAGCTGTTTAATTGAGTGACTCATTTACCATCAGGAGTTAATAGAAACTGGGTCTAGTCCTGGCCTTGCTGCTCATTGGTTGTGCAATTTTTACTAAGTTATTTGCCCTTTCTATGTCCCTGTTCCTTCATCCGTAAAATGAAAAATATGAGCCAAATTATCTTTAAGATTGTATCCAGCTTTAACTTAACTTTCTATGTTTTATTATTCTAGAGCTTATCCATTACCATCATGCACTGAAGATATAAAGAGTATGGAATCCAGAGTAAAAAAAAAATTAAATTAAAATATGCATTTAGCATATTTTGGGACCAAATTTCCTCTTAGACCTAACCTACTGACATTTATCTTAACTTCGCACTAAATATTGATAAATACTCTAAATAATAACTAACATTTACTGTGTAGTTACCATGTGCTCTAACAACAATGGGTAGGTTTTTGAGTAGTGTTTTAGCTCTATTACCTTGGGTAAGGTATGGTGAGGCCAGACACAGAGGAAGAGAAAGAAACATGACAGAGATTTTTCCATGTCTTTATTCTCAACAACCCCTGGGGAAAACACAGCACAGCACGTAGGTCCACTAAGGGAAGCACTGGAGGTAGTCATGCGTCAGAGAGAGAGGGGAACCATGGTGAAGCGCCTTCATTGGGGTTTCCACACAAAGGAATGAACAAGACAAGATAAACAGGTTTGGGACTGGCTAATTTGAATAGCTTTGTGAGACTCTGGAAAACAAGGTCTGTCCCTGGTTGTCTGCACCTAGCCCAGAGTGTGAGAATGCAATAAGAGAAGCGGTTGGACATGCGGACTTAATTGTCTGCTCAAGAAAGGGAAATGACCAGCCTCTAGCCAGAGCCTCAAAACTGGTTAAAGACAACACGAAAAGAAGAAAGAGAGGGAGGGGGGCAGAGAGAGAGAGAGAGAGAGAGAGAGAGAGAGACAAGGGAAGAAGAGAGAAAGAGAGGGAGGGAGGAAGGGAGGGAGGGAAGGAGGAAGGAAGGAAGGAAGAAAGGAAGGAAGGAAAATGAAACTCACTATACCACAGTTACTATTCTAATCACTTTATACACATAGTAATATCATCAACCCTATTTACAAATGAGAAAACCACGGAAGAGAGTGAAAATGTAATTTGACCCCAAAATCATAAAACTAGTGATTGACAGAACCAAGCTTCCAACCCAGGTGGCAGCCAAAATCAGCTCTCTTATCCGCTACACTAAGATCCAAAAGGGTGTGTACAGTTTGAGAGCAGACTCCTCCAAAAGATGTTCCTTTCCTTTGATAATCTAACTCCCATATTTACCGATCCATTCAAAAAATATTGACTGAATCCCTACTCTGTAACACTTAGCTTCTGAATCAACCTCTTGGCCCTTTTCCTTCCTTTTCTTGTACTTCTTTTATATTTTTGGGTCTCATAGGATTTGTTTATTATAATTCATCATGGGCCACCCCTTCGGGTCCCCTCCCACTATAGGAGTTTTTATGTCCTCTCAATAAATCGTGCTTTCTAAAAATATAGAAATAAAAGAATAATAATTCATCGCTAGCTAATGAGAATATGGGCATTATAGATCTCTGGGTATATTTTAGCACCAAGCAAGTGGAGTCAGTTAGTCCTCATTTTGCAAAAGGGAAGGACATGGGGAAGAAAAAGGTTCACAGATAAATATCTTTAGGGTGAGCTCCAGAAAGTAGTCTATCTAGCAAAGGCTCTAGTCCCAGCACCACTAACTAGCCAAATTGCAATAAAGTGAGTACTGTCATTTTCTCCATTTCACTAATAATGAAGCAGGCAGAGTTTAGGAATTTATCAAGGTCATAGAGCAGGTGACTGAGTGATGGAGCTGAATTATGAACCATTGCTAGCATCAGAGCCCATGCTGCATTCCCAAAGGGCCATCAGCAAAAGTGTGCACAATGGAAAGACCCATTCATAATCCTCTTCCTTTGATCAAAAGTACTATAGTCTCTTGTCCTCTCCTTCTCACCACCTTCAACAAATCTTTTTCTTTTGGTTAAAGTTTTCTTGCTATTGAGTAGAAAACCAGGCTAAAACCATAACCTAAAATTATCTTTTCATCATTGGAATGCATCTCAAACTCTTCTTCCTTTCCATGGTCCTATAAATTGAATTTTTCCCAGATAACTACTTTATCTGCTTTTTTCTTTAATTTCAATTATTTATCAGTTTCCAAGAAACCCAAATATCAGGATTAGACTTTACCTACAAGAATTTCAACAAACTACAGGCATTACCCAAATCCTTGAAATATGTGGAGAGTCAAATAGCAATAACAACACTCTAAAGGGACACAGTAATGAACTTCTCAAAATTACATTGAGATAGCATTTTTATATTGTTAGAAATGTCAGTATACCAATACATTGTGTTAGTTAGAATAGCCAGTTTCACAATTTATTCTCAAATGTTCAGGTTCAATCCATTGTTATATTTATTTGTGTATGAGTTATATTTATTTGTGTATTTATTTATATTTATTTGTGTATGGTATATTTATTTGTGTATATTTATTTGCATATGCATGAGATTTGTTTGTTACAACAATAATCATTTTGGCTAGAGAGAGTACTAAATTTTGATGAAAACAGTTTTGGTGTGTGAATCCAAGCAGGGTATGAATCACTGTTGTTCTTCTCAAAAACTGTGGGTCTTTGGTCAAGACCTTAATTTCTCAGAACCTCTGTTTCTTCATCTGTAAACTAGGATGATAACGCCTTCCTAAACTGCCTGTTAGAGTTGCAGTGAAAATTAAATCTTATGAGCTAGATAAAATTCCTCTGGTTCCAAGGCCTCTAAGGCTCAGAGATTCTCCTTGTTTATATAACAGCAACTACCAAGCTTTTCTTAAGTATTCAGGAACATTTTAAGCCTAAGAGCCCACTTTCTTCTTGGGCCCATGTCCTGCTCTCATTGTCTAAGGCTGAGTGCTTGCTCACACCGATTCGCCCACCAAACCAGTGGGATGTTCTTCCTTAAAAGTTAGCCTCTGGGGGTTTTTTCCTCTCCAGTTAGAGGCGTCTCATCTCTCAGCCCAACATGAGCTCAACACTATTACCTATTCCTTTCATAGCAGTCTACTACATCAGCAGCAATATTCACCTAATACCTCCAAATCTTGCTACCTGGCAGGCTCAGCATTGAACATAGCAGCGCATGGACCAAGAATTAGAAAATCAAGTCAGGGCAGACAATGCTTCTCATCTGGAAACAAAGAAACAGACTGTCACGTCAGCCAAAAGATCGAGTTCAGGACCAAAAAAAAAAAAAGTCTTCAAATCATGCTTTACCTCTAGGACAGCTTGATCAATGCCACCTACAAATTGGGACAAAATGATAAAAAGAGAGAACCCTCTAGTATTTCCTGGAGCATGCTCTTCTCTGAGCAGAGCTTGTGGTATATTGTGAATTGTGCAAGCAAGTGAGGTGCAAGCAAGTTTAGGAGGGAAGCATGAAGAAAAACAATGAGGACTTCAGAGGCACAGAAGCAGCAGCACAGCTGTGGGACTCGGGGAAACATGAGTCACAGAGAGTAATTAGGTTTGAGGCAGCCTTTTGGACAGAAGTGCACAGAAGTCAATGGATCTGGACCAAAAAAAAGAAGTCTATGGGCAGTGGATCAAACACATCCTGTTTGGATGTCTTCATGCCAAGCACTGGCTAGACCTTAGGGTCTAGACCATAGAAGAGCAGGGGAGATGGCATCTACAGAAGTAATCCTCAGATGCCCACTGCTCGTAGGGGGAAACCTAACTGCCATCTGAATAGGCCAGAGACATGTAGGGAAACTGTCACTCGGATTCACTGGCATTGGTACCCCTGGAAAGAGTATTAACATAACGTAAATAGGAGGTAAAGAAAATATTTTGCAGCTCATCTCCACACAAAAATTGAGTTTCTTTTTTTAAAAACTGCCAAATCCAAGTGTTTTTTAAAACATACCTCATCATAAATTACCTTAAAACTGAATTTCTATATGCAAGTTAAAAAAATATCTAGCTTTAAAGAAACTACCTGAAAGAAATTAGGAAAAAAATGTGATTTGGGAAAATAAATATCAAAATGCAACACCTCTATTGAATTAGTGTCTGTCTCACTTCTGACCAGGTCAGAAAAGAAGTTGGTGATGTGACCATCCTCATTAACAATGCTGGCGTTGTGACAGGAAAGCTCTTCCTCAATATTCCAGATCACATGGTGGAAAGATCATTTCTGGTAAATGCTCTCTCTCATTTCTGGGTAAGTCTTCTTTGTTTATCATCTTCTTTCACTGGTGAGTAGGAAGATATCACAGAGTCCTATAAACACCTGTTCATGTATTCATCTGTAAACACACCATTTGGGGGTTTTCCCCTGATGGAGTCCCATCCTCGCCAGGTTTCGCCCTGCCACACTTGTCTGTGCTTTTCCTGACCAAGCCCTCTTCCACATTCTCAGGGAAATTCTCCTCTCTCCAGCCACTCACAGTTTGGGCTCCAGACTTTTTAGACTGTTCAGAGATCTTCCTACCAAAATACAAACTGAGAGTGTGACAGCAATTATGCAAGAGAGATTGAATTTGTTCAGGAGTCAAAGAAGAGCTTGTGCAGAGACCAGGGCTATTTTTAGGTGTTGGTTTATGTGCATGCACGACTGGGCATCGTAACAAAGAAAACAAAAGCAGGAGAAACCACAATAGCCACCACTAATTGAGTGCTGTTCTCAGTGCTTTAGCTACACATGCGGCCATCGAGTCATTTTCATTCTCATTCTACAAATAAGGAAACTGTGTTCCAAAGTATGGAAATGAATTCCCCCAAATCAGGCCACTGGCAAGTGGTGGCCCAAGCTTACAGAAGGAAGAGGAGGGTGGGAGGGAAGACTCCTTACAGAAGGAGAATGAGTGAATTTATACTCAGGAATGTCTTCCCCAAGGCCTGGAGTAACCACTCCAGGCTACACAGCGCTGCCCCGTAGAACTGTCTTTGATGATGAAAATGTTCTTCATCTGTGCTTCCCTAGATGCTAGCTTCTACTCATTTGTAGCTATTGAGCAACAGACACATAGTTAACGGGACTGAGGCACTTTTAACTTTATGCCACATAATTCATTGAAATACATATTTAAATAGCCACACGAGCCTAGAGGCTACCACGCTGGTCAGTGCAGTGTCACTCCAGAAAGTGGATAAGAGGCAGAAGGAGACTTGAGTTACCAGAGGCATTTCTGCGGGGAGAGCTTAGACTGGTGATGTGAGGAACAGCAACGGATGAGGCCTGAAGGAGGTACAGGTGGCTGAAACTAGAGCCTTGGAAGACGTAGGGAAGGAGAAACAGGCAGGGCCCTGGTATCTTCAAAAGTGGAAACTTGGAATGGGCTTGTTTTAGGTGTCTCCTGGTTTCTCCCTCTTTCCACTTAACAACTTTCTCTCCACAGACCTCAGAACTATTTTCTTGATCTTTCTTGATCATTGGGAAGCCAGTGAGAACCCCCACTGGAGCCCAACAAGCTTATTTTAATCAAAACTTATTGAGTGCCTAATACAGTTTTTGACATATGATAGGGATTCCACAACACTTATGAAAACCACTGATTTCCTTTTCTGTACCACCCCACCCCAAAACTTTTCCTCTTAGAAAGGGAAAATGCCTTATTTGTAAATGGAGCTAGGGCACACCCATTTCTATTCACATCACAAATCTAAAAGCATTCCTAATTCCTGTCTTTCTCTCAATACCAGCACCCTTGGCGCTCCCTGCAAAATATGCCCAAGGGCACGCCTCTCCTCCTGCTGTCACCCCTGGTTCAAGCCATTCTCATCTCTTGCCAACAGCTCCTCAAGGCTTCCGTAATGAACAATGGAGTCTTCTAGCCTCTCTTCATATGACAGCAAGGCAATCTTTTCAACACATTAATCACATCATCTCACTGCCTTGCTCAGAAATATTCAGGGGTTTCCAAGCACACTTAGGATAACCAACGTACAGCTCCCCGCCGTGGCCTGTGAGCCCCGGCATGACGTGGCAACACCATCTCCTGTCTCTCTTCCACCTCTCCTTTTCTTTAATTTCTGCTCACTTTCTATTATTCCAAGCATCCTGATTAAATCCCAGAGCACATCAAGCTCTTTCTCATCTGAAGGTCTATGCACAAGCTGTTTTCTCTCTGACAAGAATTTTTTGTGTGTGACTCATTCAGTAGCTCCTTCTCATTCGTGTACTCTGAATTTGTACCTTTATGTGGTGTGTCCTGTTGTTTAACTTAAATCATGTACACAGTTAACAGTAAGAGATATTAACAAACACACAGAAACCTCCTTGATGCATGTCAGCAAATCTGGAGACAGATGATTCTGAACAACTGCTATATAATCAGAAAATCAACTTCCATCTGAAGATTATGGAAGAATCTTCATTCATCTTTAGAATTACAGATATTTTTTCAAAATGTTTCTATAGCTCATATTAACTCGTCTACTCCAAGACTATGAAACCAAACTCAAGAAACATGTCTCCACCAGGTTTTCCCCGCAGTACTTCTAGTGAGAGATTTCCTTTTCTTCTTGAAATCACCTAAATCTGCCAAGGTTTCTGAACTGCCAAAAAGTGACCTCTCTTACTACTTGTCAAGCTGGGAAGATAAATGTGAACCATAAAACAGGTATCAGTCAAGTTTTCTGGGGAGGACACTTGGTAGGCATTGGTTCCACATAAGAATGACATTATTCCTAAAGAGTTGGCTTGTCATACATGATCAATAAAACTTTTTTTTTAGTTGTAGTCTCACTCTGTCACCCAGGTTGGAGTGTAGTGGCATACTCACGGTTACTGCAACCTCGACCTGCTGGGCTCAGGCAATCCTTCCGCCTCAGCCTTTCAAGTAGCTGGCACCACAGGCTTGTGACATCACGCCTGGCTAATTTTTTGATTTATTGTAGAGACGAGGTCTCGCCATGTTGCTCGGGCTGGTCTTGAACCCCTGAGCTCAGGCAATCCTCTCGCTTCTGCCTCCCAAAGTGCTGGGATTACAGGCTTAAGCCACTGCCCCAGCCAAAACTTATTATGAAATATGATACCCCTATGTTCTGGCTGCATTATCAAGCTCTTCAAATACATCCTGGTTTTTAAAAAGGCCTGGTTCTTACAAAGCATATGCAAATAGGTACATCACCGTGAAAAATGAAGGATCTCAGAAACTCATTTTAATGGAATCTATATACTGCCTCAAGTAGATATGTGAACAAAGGCATTAATGTCTTTTGTATTATCTGTAAAATGGTTTGATAGTTTATGGATGTATGGTAACTAGAATAAGTTAAATTTTATTCCATATATTTTTCCAAGCTTAACTCACTGTGAAAACTTTCATCTTAATTTCAAGTACTAGAATTATCATTATTCTTATATTCCTCTGATGAGTCATTCAGTTTATATCTAAACTAAGATACCCCATAAGATATTTTTCCCTGAATCCGGAGGGTATCAATTGGATTAAGATAGCACTCAAATAGAGTTTCATTCCAGCTTGCTAAGTACAGCTTCCTAAAGAGAAGATTAGAAATAGATCAAGGAGAAAGAAAAAGGACTTTCTCACATGCCCACAGAAAACAGTTTTGACTACATTAAATTTCCCTCTTTGATTCTATGATTCTTTGATTCTGCTTGACCTTCATCAGAGTCTGCTTTTACTCAGCCATCTGCTTCTGTACAGAACAGGTTCTATGGGCCTGATTCAGTCCCAAGTGTGGCTTTACAAGGACTTCCTCGCAGTGGCTCACATAAGAATGCCTGTACCAGTGAACCAATGAGTCAATCTTTGGCAGGATCCAAGCCACATGGCAACTCTTTTCTTTTCTTCTTTTTTTTTTCTTTTTTCTTTTTGGGTCAGGATCTTACTCTGTCACCCAGGCTAGAGTGCAGTGGCATAATCTTAGCTCACTGCAGTCTCAACCTCCCAGGCTCAAGCAGTCCTCCAGCCTCAACCTCCCAGGCTCAAGCAATCCTCCTGCCTCAAGCAATCCTCTATCCCCTGAGTAGCTGAGACTACAGGCATGCCACTACCACACCTGGTTCACATTGTGATTTTCAATGTGTTCTTCTATCTATACCATGTCTTCAAAAGACACAATTTTTGACGTGTAGTATCAGAAGCCTTTGGGCAAGAAGAGGGAGTTCGGAAACATTCTATTAACGATAAAATAGAATGGCTCTAATTAATGTATGTCAATAATCAAAAATATCAAATTAGAGAAAGTTAAAACTGCTATTAGGGTGTAAGACATAACTGTTTTCTAAGGAAAACAGTTAATAATTTTAGTGAGCGCACTGAGAAATCCCCAATGTCCTTCTATCTATCCTGGCAAGTATGCAATCTCTGATGAAGCATATTTGGATTAATAAATTCACCCCCAGAAAAGGTTGAATTTCTCCTTTGGATTTAAAAGTTTTTCCCCACATTTCCTCAGGGCAGCTCCTAAAATAGGGCTCAGCTAATTAAAAAATATGGAGCATACCAAATATTCTTTATTGTTTCTAGCATCCTTGTTGCTGTTGATTGCCATGTCATGAATTTCAAACTGAGGGAACAGACTTTGGGTGCTTTGGTAACCTAAAAAAGTGGTGAGACTCCTCTGAGCAGATAACTACTCACTCTGATCATTTTTTGCTAATTTCACCAGTGTTCAGTTATTGAAAGATTGCTGTAGGCCACTACTTTCTCTCCCTTACTTTGGGGAGTTTCACTGCCCAACCCCTGGAATTCATTATAAAAGTAGCACTGACACACATCTTCGGCTTCATTCCTTCTTGAGAGTTCCATAAACTTTCAGATACCAGTAGTGGTGTTTAGCTGAATCTCTACACTCAGCCTTCCGGTCCTTATACCTCAGTGGATCTACTATACGATCACATGAGAGGTGCTCTCTCGGGCTCCAACTGGATCATTCACTTTTATGCTGAAAGACAATACTCAGCTTTTAATTTTTGAAAGACAAAGATGTTGTAACCACAAGACACAGATGTATAAGTTGCTGCTGTGCTTGGACATGAGATGTCAAAAGAGGTCAATTGTCTGCAAATAAGCAGAAACTCACCGATCAGCTTAGCTGTACTGGAACAAGGTTTGTGAGACATATAAGATCTTGAAAACAAAAGTGCTATTCATTGATGCAGTCTCTGCTTGCTGTTCTACTGGGTCTTTGTAGAGCACATCTTGGCAGACTTTCCAAAATTCTACATGCACAATCCTGACTTTGTTGACATTTTAAATCTCATAGAAATTGATGAGCATTGTCAAGGTTTGATTGAAACTAATTTATGGGAGAACGAGCAGTTGACAAGATAATAATATGAAAAACTTGAATTTACATAGTCAGTGGAAAAAGGAATGCTGAAATAAGATTGTTTTACTGTTACCTCTGGACTTACCTTTCTTTTTTTTTTTTGAGTTGGGGGGTCTCACTCTATCATTCACGTTGCAGTACAGCAGCATGAACATAGCTCACCGCAGCCTCAACCTCCTGGAGTCAGGCAATCCTGTACCTAGCAAAATGTTTTTTTTATTTTTGTAGAGGCAGAATCTTGCTATGTTGCCCAGGCTGGTCTTAAACTCCTGGACTCAGGTAATCCTCTTGCCTCAGCATCTCAAAGTGCTGGGATTACAGGTATGAGCCACCATGCCTGGCCCCAGGATTATCTTTTCTATTAGACAAAAAAATCAAACTAATTATTTTTCTGTATGCCAACCTCTAATTTTACAAGACTGTGAAATATCTAGATCCTAATAATTTCTAGTCAAACAAACTTACATTGTCCAAGAGAGTTAGACGACAAGGAGACACTTATTAGAAAATGCTACAGCATGATGAAAGTCATTCAATCATCTCTTTGTCTTATTTACATGATAAATATTTATGAAAGAGGCTTAAATAAAAGAGTCCAGTATTGGAGAACAGGAGAATGAAAAAGTGCCCTGAAAGAACCTAAAAGGTGCATGGGTAAGGGACCTAGAACTTTTTTGTGTCACGGGGACTTGGAACACAGAATTAACATCTTGCTTGAGGATGAATGAGTGAAGTTAACCAGAATGACTAAGAATGTATCTAAGTCATGGTAGACAATTCTAAGACAAATGTTTACCTTGCATTGAAATTTACCTTCCTCAAGCAATTTTTCCAATTCTGCCAAATCATCAGGGTGAGGGCAAATCTTGTATGTGGTAAAGCTAGTATGGTAAATGCAATTAAATTTATTTTTTATAATTTGATTTTATTATGGAGATGTGAGGTACAAGTCAAGATTAGATACATAAGCAGTCTACATGCAGGTAAAGACTGGGCCTCCAACTGGTCGTTGCTTCCCCTGGTTTAGGACCAAGTACTCTTTGTATCGTTATGTGCCTCCGCCACCACCACCGGCAGTGCTTCCCAACTGCCCACTCCTCATTTGTGCTACTGTAGTTAATGTTAGGTCCCACTTATGAGTGAGACCATGTGGTATTCAGTTCTTTGTTTCTGTGATAGATCACTAAGTATGATGGTCTCTAATTTCTTCCAGTTTATTGTGAAGTCCATGATTTTGTCTTTCTTTACGACTGCATAATATTCCATCGTATATATGTACCACATTTTCTTTATCTATTCACTCTCAATGAGCAGTAGGGTTGGTTCCATGTTTTTGCTATTATGAATAGTGAGGCAATAAACATGTGTGTACAGGTGTCTTTTTTTGTAGAATGATTTATACTCCTCTAGGTGTATTTCCAGAAGGGGGGGTTACTTACTGGATCATATGGAAGGTCAATTTCTAGTTCTTTTAGGAATCGCCACATTATTTTCCATAGAGTAGAACTAGTTTGCACTCCCAACAGTGTAGAAGCATTCCCTTCTCTCTGCACCCGCAGCAGCATCTGTTGTTTTTTATTTATTACTGATGGTCATCCTTACTGGAGTTAGGTGGTATCTCAATGTGGTTTTGATTTGCATTTCTCTGATGACTCATGAAGCTAAGCATTTGTTGGTTTCTTGTACCTCATCTTTTGAGAAGTATCTGTTCATGTCCTTTGCCCACTTTTTAATAAGGCTCTTTTTTGTTTTTGTTTTTGTTTTTACTTTTGTCATGTTTGAGTTCCTTGTATATCCTGGATGTTAGGCCCTTGTCAGACACATAATTAGCAAAATTTTTTCTCATTCTTTGGGTTGTCTCCCCACTCTCTTAATGATTTCTTTTGCTGTGCAGAAGCTTTTCAGTTTGATGAGGTACCACTTGTCTATCATAGCTTTTTTGGCATTCGCTTTTTGGGGATTTGATCAAAAATTGGTTGCCAACTCCGATTTGCATAAATGTGTATTCTGTGGTTTTTTTTCTAGGATTCTTATAGTTTGAGGTTTTACATTCAGGTCTTTGATCCATTTAGAGTTGGTTTTTGTATCTGGTGATATAGGGGACCAGTCTCATTCTTCTACATGTGGTCAGTCAGTTTTCCCAGCGCCATTTGCTAAATAAAGTTTCCTTTACCCAGTGTTTGTTATCAATGGTTTTGACAAAGATTAGTTGGTTGAGAAATCAAGTTTTTGCTTCTGGAATCTCTGTCGTTTCATTTGTCTATATGCCTATTCTTGTACCAGCACCAGGTTGTTTTGATTATTGTATCCTTACAGTAAAGTTTAAAGTCTAGAAGTATGATACCTCCTTCTTTGTTCCTTTTGCTGAGGATTGTTTTGACTATTCCTACTCTTTTTGTTTTCTTATAAATTTCTGTATTGTCATTTCCAGGTCAGAGAAGAATGATGTTGATAATTTGATGGGTATTGCATTGACTCTGTAGATTGCCTTGGGTAAGATGAACATCTTGACAATATTGATTCTTCCAATCCATGTGCAAAGGATATTTTTCCATTTTTTGTCATCTTTGATTTCTTTGAGCAGTGTTTTGTAGTTCTTGTTGTAAAGGTCTTTCACTTCTCTGATTAGGTAAATGCCAAGGTATTTCATTTTTGTGTGTGTGGCTATTGCGAATGGGATTGTGATTTTTATTTGATTCTCTGTCTGCTTGCTGCTGGTACATAGAAATGCAACTGTCTTTTTTAGGTGTTGAAGCAACTGTCTTGTGTATGCTGATTTTGTGCCCCAAAATTTTACCAAAGTCATGTATCAGTGCAAGGAGGTTTTTGAAAGATTCACTTGGGTTTTCAAAGTTTAGGATCTTATAGTCCACAAAGAAGGATAGTTTAACTTTCTGTTTACCCAATTGAATACCCCTGATTTCCTTCTCTTGTCTGATAATGCAATTAAATTTAAATACAAGTTGCTGGACACTACATGGAAGAATACAGCATACTAGAAAAACTAGGTTTTAGAATTTTTAGCCAATCATAAATATAAAATGTCCATTTGATTTAATTAGTATAGCTTACTTCAAAGGAAAAAGAAATCAAATAATATTTTATAGATTAACACATAATAAACTCTAATTTCCTTAAAAAGAGTGACTATATGGGACCTACTTTTGCACTGCCACAAAACTTGGCATACGTGTTCAATCAATATATGTTAAGTGAATCAGTAAATTCATCAAATACTTACTATGCAAATAAAGTAATAAATGAGTGAAATACTAACTCAATGTATTTATACCTTCCAGACTTGTAAGACCTTCCTTCCTGCCATGATTAAAAATAACCATGGTCACTTGGTCTGTATTTCAAGTGTAGCAGGATTAACGGGTACTAATAGACTGTCAGGTGAGTACTTTGTTTCACTATGTGCCTTTGTATTCCCCAGTACACAGAACTCCAAAATTAGGACTCTTTCAAGGTAGACAGAAGCTCTTCCTGCATCAAGGCCAAATCTCTGGAACATTTGGCTCTGTTTGTAATACCAGCATTCCCTTCCATTTCCATAATGAGGGATATTCTCCTCTTTAGATAATGAAGAAGAAGAAGAAGCCACCTATTGACCCAGTGGTCTTCTTGGGTTAAGTGTAATTGAAATGATTTCCAACTTTTTGTTGGGTATAGAGTGTGGAGATATGAAAGTAATGTGTTAGCCACATTAATGACTTTAAAAGTGATCCTCTATTCCCAAGGACAAGCCAGAGAAAGGAAAGGGAAGTTCTGTTTTTAAAATAATTCTAAGAACTAACTTGTCAAACTCTATTACTAATAGCTCCTCACTTTGTTTCAGATTATTCTGCAAGTAAGTTTGCAGCCTTTGGCTTGGCTGAGTCGCTCTTTCTTGAATTAACTATGAGAAAGAAAACTGACATCAAAACCACCATAATTTGTCCATATTTCATCAAAACTGGAATGTTTAAGGGCTGTCAAACCAAGTAAGTGACCCATTACAGTAATCTTTGCTCTTATAATTGCTCTTATAATAATCTTCCAATACATGTTATCATCGGATCATTTTGAAGCTTTGAAATATGAACAGTAAAATAAAAAATGAAATTTGAATGTCTAATTTATTAAAAGAAAAAATTGCAATATGTATACAATTTATACATTTATTCAATTTAAAAATAATAGAGTTATGAATGTTAGGGTGTGGTAAAAAAAAAAACAAAACTTAAACCTAACATACTAATTCAAATATTGAAATATAACAAGGGATTTGGTAGTGATAACTTTTTTAAATATTTAGCATTGTAGTATTGAGAATAATTTTTTTCCTAAAAAGTATATTAAGGTACAAATAGCCTCTCAAATAAAATATTTCATGAGACTGATTAGTATAATGGAGTAATACTGCATTTTGGCATAAATTTGGCTAGGACATTCCAAACTAAGATGTTAATAAAATATGAGAGCTTTTGCATAGGGAGCCAATCAGCAAAGTATATTGAAAAGTGTAAACTAGATATGAAGACAAGTGTAGTGATTATAATTGTTAAAAGTGGAGTAGGGGACTGACATGATCTAAATGATGTGCATCAGTTAAATTTGTAGGAAAAAGAGACTGCCAATAAAAAAGGCTGGCTAAAAGGCAATTAAACTTCGTACTTAGAGAAACTATAAAATTAAATGAAAAGTTCTAAAACAGTTAGTGAAGAGTTGACAGAATATAGAGGAGAAAGTTCTTTCCCAGAGACATCTACTAAGCTGATCAAAACTATCAAAGAAAGTCATTCCAAAACTCTGGAGATTGGTCAAAGGGCATAAGTTGAGAAGCATTTATTCAACAAAATCTATGGAAATTCAATAAGAACACTAGAAAGCCATAGCATTAGGGTTAGGGACCAAGCCTCTTCTTTTGTGGGATAACTGTTTTAGCAGACTTGGGAACCAACTGGCAGTTCCCACCTCCCTCCAGCTCTCTGGGATGGAAGGGCATTTGTGAGTAGTTTGTCAGCAGGTGACATTGGCAGATCCCATTTTCAGCAGTTCCATGCAGTAGAAGGCCTATATTGAGTGAATGACCTCAACTAGACAGTGTTTGTCCCTTCACTCTTACATTAAGTAGGGATGATTCAGAGAGGTGCTGTCAATGATTCGATCAGTTCCTCATCCTAGAACAGCTCTTTGTTATGAAACAACTCCAGTAAGCTCAGCAGTCAAGTGACAGGTCTCATCTTCCCCAACTTCCTAAGGCAAAAGACTTGGTTTAGGTAGATTTACCAAGCAGTTAATATCATCAGATTCCATCCTCCCAAGCATGGGCTGTGGAAGATCCATATAGGGTGGTAGCAACAGCTGGTTGGTAGACCTAGTTCCTACCATTCCCTCCTCCAACCTTCACATCTTGAACCATAGGGACAATATTGATAAAGCAGCCAGTGAAGAGTGAGTTTCGTATCACCCCCACCTCCTGATCCATAACACAGAGGTTCTTCCTGGTGAGAGTCAAAGTCAACCTCAAAAATTGGCATTTCTCCACCCCTTCCAGGGGACTTGGCTTTAATTGAATAAGACCATGAATTGGAATACAAAAAGAACAGCACAACATAAGTCTAGTAAATTGTGTAAGTTAAGAACTAGGTTTGATATGAATAGAAGCAAATCAACCAGAAGCTTAACCAGGAAATCAACAAAAGAGAAAGTAAATGATTGCCTGGCTAAAGCCACAGTCATCCCTGTCAGTCAGAAAGATGACATGCATGCCCAAGACTACATCCGCTGAGGAATGATATCAAAGCTACACATTGACAGTAGAAAGAGAAGATAGACTTCACTGAACTAGTCCAGTCAAGTCACTAAATTAATAAATCAGTAAATAAGCAAACAATCATAACAACAAGCCTTATGGAAGAGTGTTATCCAGAGTTCCTAAAATATATTATCAGTAATGTCTACTTTTCCACAAAAAACTATAACACATGCAAAGAAACAGGAAAGTATGGCCCATACATTAGAAAAAAAATAGGTAATAAAAATTACTTTTATGAGGACCCAGATGTTGGACTCTGCAAACAAACTTCAAGGTACTATTGTAAATATGTTAAATGGCCAAAAAGAATTCAAGTTTAAAATAAAAAGAAAGTATAATGAAAATTCTCTTCAAATCTCAAAAGATATAAAAAGTATTTTTTAAAATGTAAATTTGGAATAGGAAATTTGAGAAAAAAAAGATTCATTAGAACAACCCAATAGTTGATTTGAGCTGAATGAAGAAAGACTAAGTGAACTTGAAGACAGATGGATAGAGATTATGCAGTCAGAAAAAAAGAGGGAAAACCAAATCAAGAAAAAAACGGAGCCTCAGAGAAATTTGGAACGCTTTAAACACATAAATATATATGTGAGAAAAGTAACATAAAGAGAGGATACAAGAAATGAGTAGGAAAAAGTAATCAAAGAAACAATGGCTAAAAACTTTCTAAATTTGCTGCAAAACATTAATTTACATCAAGAATCTCAATGAACTCTAAGTAAGATGAACACAAGAGGTTCCACACTCTAACATACCATAATCAAAATGTTGAAAGACAAAAATGGAGATACAAGCTTGAAAACAGCAAGAGAAAAAGTGTTTTATTGTGTACAAAAGACGCCAACTGTGATTAACAGCTGACTCCTCAATAGAAACAGTGGAAACCAAATGGCAGTGAGATGGCATTCAAAGTTCATGGCGGGGGGAGCTTGCCAGTATCAACCAAGAATCTTATATCCAGCAAAATTATCTTTCAAAAATAAAGGCAAAAATGGAAGAAAATCAAAACAAAGAATGTGTTGTTTAGCACTTTACAAGAAATACTAAAGAAGTTATTTAGGAGAAAAGCAAGTGACTCTAAAGAGTAATCTGAATCCGTATAAATAAAACAAAATAATAGTAAAGGCAATAAAGTAGGTAATTTTTTAAACAGTGTAAATGCATATTTCTTCTTTTTTCTCTCACTTTATTTTAATGCAATTGCATACATAGTATGTACATAATAGTATTGTTGGACCTACAACATATAGAAATGCAGCATTTTGACAATAAGCGTGCAAAGGAGGTAGGTGGGAACAAAGCCATATTGGTGTAAGTAAATGGCACTTAATGGCAATGAAGAGAACCAGAGATGGACAAGGTTGATATCATACACTTTACAAATATATTTTGGCTCTCCTTAATTCTTTCAATTTCTTTGAGACATAACATTTATAAAATAATGACTGCAGTAATGTATTATTGGATTTAGAACATAAACACATAATATATATAACAATATTATACATAATAGCATAAAGGTAGAAGAGGTGATACAGCTGTATAGGAGTAAAGTTTCTATATCTCAATGGAATTAGCAGAGTATACATCTGAAGCTAATTCTGATGGGTTGAAACACATATTGTTGTATGCCCTAGAAAAACCACTGAGAAAATAACTTCAAAAATATAATTTTAAAAATTATTAAAGGCTGCCTCTGTGATCAAAAGGACATAGAATACTATAGATATCTATAGAACACTCCATCCAACAACAGCAGAGTAGATATCTTCTGAAGCACAAGTAGAACATTCTCTGGGATAGACTATATGCTGAGCCATAAAACAAACATTAATAAATTTTTTAAAGGAGTAAAATCATAAAAAAGCATGTTTGCCAAGCAAAATGAAATAAAATTAGAAATCAAAAACAGAAGAAAACCTGAGAAATTTGCAAATATGTGGAATACAACATATCAAAATGTATGGGAATACATTTAAAGCAGTGCTTAAATTTTTATAGCTGTAAATGACCACATTAAAAATAAGAAAAATATGAAATAAATAATGAATATTTTGCTTTAAGAAACTATTTAAAAGAGCACACTAAATCCAAATCAAGAAGAAATAATAATAATTGTAGCAGAAATAAAATAGACAGTGGGAAACTAGAGAAAAACAATGAAACCAAAATTTGTTTCTTTGAAAAGACCAACAAAATTAATAAAACTTTAGCTAGACTTACCAAGGGGGGAAAAGGAGACTCAGACTACTAAAATTAAGAATATAATATGGGACATCAGCTTTTTAAAAAATATCATAAGGAAATACTATGAAAAATTGCACGCCAAGAAACTAGATAACTTAGTTGAAAAGGAATAATTTATAGAGAGACACAAACTAACAAAACTGACTCAAAAAGGAAAAAAATTATGAATAGACTTAGAGATATTACATTCATAAATGAAAAAATTTCTCACGGTCAGGCTCCGTGACTCAGCCTGTAATCCCAGCACTTTGGAAGGCCAAGGTGAGTGGACTGCCTGAGCCCTCAGGTTCGAAACTAGCCCCAGCAGCTTGGCGAGACCTCATCTCTATAATAAATCAAAAACTAGCCAGGCATGGTATCGCGTGCCTGTAGTTCCAGCTACTTGGAAGGCTGAGGCAGAAGAATTGCAAGAGCCCAGCAGGTTGATGCCGGGGTGGCTGTGAGCGTGCCACCACCCTGGGCGACAGAGTGAGACTCCACCTCAAAAAAAAAAAAAAAATTTCTCACTAAAAAAAGCCCAGGTACAAAGATGGCTTCAAGGATAATTCTGTCAAACATTTGAAGAAATATTTCAAAAGCTATTCCAAAAAAAATAGAGGAGGACTAAATACTTCTCAAGCCACTCTATAAGAGCAATATTACCTTGATACCAAAACTAGACAGATATCACAAGAAAATAAAACTAAAGATCAATACCACTCATGAATATGAATACAAACATCTCCAATAAAATACTAACAAATGAAATTCAGCAACAGATTATGATAATACATCATTATCAAATGGAAATTATCCCGAAAATACAAAGTTGAATTAATATTTTTTTAAATGTAATACACTATATCAGTAGAAAAAAAAATAGCTGCCTTATCATCTCAATACACATGGAAAAAGCATTTGACAAAATCTAACAACCTATCATGATAAGAACATTAAGAAACTAGAAACAGAAGGGAACTTCACAACCTAATAAGTAACATCTATGAAAAACCCAAAGCTAACATTATATTTAATGGTAAAGAACTGAATACTTTTCTTCCTAAGATCAAGAACAAGACAAGGCTGTCTATCCTCGTTACTCTGATTCAACTCCTTTTCAGCAGAACATTTAGGCAAAATATAAACTAAAACATATGCATTTAGAAATAATGAAGTAAAACTATCTTTATTATCAGATGGAATGATCTTATATATAGCAAATCCTGAGGAATATACACACACACAATTATATCTACAAAATCAATTTTGCAAGGTTCCAGAACCAATATGCAAAGGCAATAAACAAAAATCAATTGTAGTTTTGTACACTTGTAATGAACAATCCAAAATGAAATAGAAAGCAAATCCACTTAACAGCAGCATCAAAAATAACAAAATACTGACATAAATATAACAAGAAAGTGCAAAACTTATACTATGAAAATCTCAAAACATCTTTGAAAGAGATTAAAGAAGATTTGAATAAATGGAAAGAAATCCCAAGTTCATAGATTGGAGAACTTAATATTGTTCAGATGCCAGTACTCCCCAGATTGATCTACGAATTCAGTGCAATTCCTATCAGGATTCTAGTTGCCCTTCTTTTTCTGCAGAACTTGAAAAGTGGACTTTAAAGTTTAATGGAACGCAAGAAACAAGAAAGTGAAAGCCATCTTTATAAAACTTCCCTATTTCAACTTAATCGAGCTTAATCAAGACTGTGATACTAGCATAGGGATAGACATATAAATCAATGGAATAAAATTTTACATTTATGCTTGAGTGATTTTAAACAGGGGTACCAATACAATTCAAAGGGGGAAATAACACTCTTTCCAACAAATACTGCTGGGACAACCATATGCATATGCAAAAGAGAGAAGTTGTATCTCAACTCCTACATCAGGTACAAAAATTAACTTTAAATGAATAAAACTGTGAAAGGAAAATGGCATAAATTTCCAAATGGTGTAAAATACTACAATCTGGTATTAGCCAATTATTTGTTAGCTATGACATCAAAATACAAGAAACAATAGCAGAAGATGAATAAATTGGATTCATCAAAATTTAAAACCCCTGTGTTTAAAGGACTTTTTTCCTGCAAATTGTATGGTTTATAAGGGAATAATATCCACAATATATTTAAAAATTCTTAATGACTCAACAATTTTTTAAAAACCCGATTTTTAAAGTTGGCAAAAGATCTGAATATGTAAAAGATCTGAAATAGGCAAAATATGAAATAAAAGCTATTCACATTGGAAAGAAATAAGTACAATTTCTCCATAAAAGATATACCAGTGGTCAATGTGCACATAAGAAGATGCCCAACATCATTAATCATTGGGGAGATGCAAATTAAAGCCACAATACGAAATTTTACTTTACACTCCCTAGGTTATTATACTCAAATAGACAATAACTAGTGTTAACGAGAATGTGGATAAATTAGAACCTTTATACATTGCTGGTGAGATTGTGAAATGTTGCAGCCACTTTGGAAAACAGTTTGACTATTCTTCAAAAAGGTAAACATAAAGTTACCATATTTCCACTCCTAGGTATATACCCAAGAGAAATTAATATGAAAACTTGTACACAAATGTTCATAGCAGAATTATGCATAATATCCAAAAGGTAGAAACAACCCAAATGTTTCCAAGTGGTGAATGAATAAACAAAATGTGATTTATCCATATAATTAAATATTATTCAACTATAAAAAGGAATGGAATTCTGCTACCAAGTTGATATGCCTTGAAAACATGATTTTAAATGGAAGAAGCCAGACACAAAAGGCCACATATTGTATTATTCCATTTAAGCAAAATGTCTAGAGTAAGCAAATCTATAGAGACAGAAAGTAGATTATTGGTTGCCAAACATTGTAGGAAGAGTCAACAGAAATGACTGCTAATAGGTGTGAGGTTTAGGGAGGGTGATTAAAATGTTCTGGAATTAGATAGTGATGAATTTTCTGAATATACCAAAAGTCACTACATTGTACATTTTAAAGAATAAATATTATGGTATATGACATATTGCAATAAAGCTTTTATTTAAAAAGCACAATGAATTACTCTTCACATCAACTAGGCTATAATTTAAAAAGACAGACAATAAAAAGAATACGTAAAGATACAGAGAAATTGGAACCTTCATATATGGTTGGTAGTATTCTGAATTGGTGCAACTGTTTTTGAAAAATAGTTTAAGAGTTCCTTAAAATCTTAAACATAGAGTTCTCACATGGTCCACCAATTCCACTTAGGTAAATACACAAGAGAAATGAAAACACATGTTCCCACAAAACTTGTAAACAAATTTTCATACAATATTATTCAAAACAACTAAAAAGTGAAAACAATCCAAATATCCATCCACTAATTCATGGTTAACCAAAATGTGGCTTATAATAATACAATAATATTACAATAATATCATTATAATAATGTGTAATAGAAGTGTGTATGCAAAAATTTAGCCAAAAAATATCGATGAAAGCATTCTGTGACTGGTAATTGACTATATGAAATTTATAACAAAATATTTTAAATATTTTATTAGTAATAATAAATCATGTACTATGCATGTTTTATATCTGTAATATTTATAATAAACTTACATATATGTATATATACTGTGTATTGGATATACATTTTAAATTACTTTCTTCTTGGTTTCTAGCATTATTATTGAATAATGATACATAAGTAAGTGCTATTAAAAGCTAGATTGTCAAGATCACAGAAAGAATGTGACCAGCCAGCATGAGAGAGCATGGTAGCCAGTGAAGGCAATGATGTTAAATGACTTTTATGCACTCAGAACCCCTAGGTACAGAAAATCTAAAAAAAAAGGCTTCAGAAAAAGAAAGATTAACAATCCCAAAATGGAAGAGAATAAAACAATGATCTGTGGATTCTATTTTAAAATAAATGGTAGAGCCCTTTATGCTATAATTCTAAGGAACTTTTAGAAGAATAAAATACAAAGATGAATTACCAATATTTAATTATGGGAAATTAGTCAGATTCCAAAAATCAACTGAGATAAAAAGAATTTTTAGGGAGTGTGGTTCAAATAATTAAGAAGAATAATATAAAATTTAATTTTTTTATTTTATTTGAAATTGTGGGGTACAGTTAAGGGTCAGGTATACAGATATGCATTGTGCAGTTACCCTTGTTGATGAGGTGTGCCCTCCCCCGTCCCCAGACAGATATTGACTACCGCTAATCCCACCTCCCTTCCTCTCCCTGACCCCCCCACCATAGTTTCCTGCCACTGTCAATCCTTTTCTTAACATAAAATTTTAAAATTTCCAAGTAGTAACTTATGGGATCTTAATTTATATTTTAATCCATTTCAACTCCTGTTGAGTTCATAATCAATTTCTGCTTAATGCTGTTTCAATGGTCTGCCTAAAATGATGCGTTACATATGCTCAAGAGATTTATTTTTTTTGGTAAGATAATTTTTACAATTTTGCTTATTACTATTATACAATTATTTGATTTGAGGGAGGAAGAAAGATACAAAAAAAATCTAAAAGGAATGGCTTCTGTATATCCAAGCCATCACATAGTAGAAAATCAACAAAAGCAAGAAGTCTACTCTAGAAAATTAAATATATTTGCACTGGTCCCAGTATTGGTCATGAAAGAAAACACATGGTAATCCCCAAGCTTTAAATTTTATTCTACTATTTACAACTATTTGTTATAATTTCATATCTGAAATTTAATAATCAACGTTCATAATGACAGTAAAAAGTACCATTCTGCTAATGTTACTTTTTGCTATTACTATTCCAGGTATCCACTTCTGTTACCATTACTGGAGCAGGAGTATGTGGCCAAAAGAGTTTTTGATGCTATTTTAGAGGAACAAGTTTATGTAATGATACCCAAATTTATATATTTCGCATTGATTCTTAAACAGTAAGTTAATAACGATCTCACTATCATTTTGTTATTTATGAACAAATTTTCTATGTATTGCTCCCATTTGTGTCTAGAAAGAAGCTTCCTTTTTTTTTTTTTTTTTTTTTGGATGACAAGAGAAAAGAAGAATGTTAATAGTGTAAGGACAATTTGTAGGACTGTTGCTAGCTGTATCTTGGTTAAGACATTGACCAAATGTAGCAGCTATTTTAGACCTTACAGAGCACAGATTGTTTCAACACAGAAACAAATAGCACACAAACTACCTAGAGTTTTGTGTTTGTTTGTTTGTTGTTTTTGGTTTGGTCAACTATTGAGTTTGACTCATATAGATTCCTCCTTGTTTTGTTTTATTTTGTTTTTTGTTTTTTATTTTAAATATCTGGGATACAATTCAGATCTAGGTATACAGATGTTCATTATGCAGGTACCCTTGTTGATTTGAAAGCAAGAGACAAAAAACCCAAGTGTGATGCCAAAAATATATTAAGGGTATTTGGCAAGTTCTTCATTTCATTTAGTAAAAGAGCTCCTGCAAGGCTGTAGCTTGGTGGCTCCTTTAACAAAGCAAAAGGCCCATGCTATGGGTTCCAGGGTATTTGTGGATGGTTCCTATCTAGTCCGACATCTAACATTTGTGGAGTACCTACTATGTGCCAGCTACTGCGCTGGCAGCTTTGCATGCTTTTTTTTTTTTTTTTTTTTTGAGTTAGAGTCTCACTCCGTCGCCCAGCCTGGCACGCTCACAGCCAACCCAGGGTCGACCTGCTGGGCTCCGGCGATCCTTCCGCCTCAGCCTTCCATGTAGCCAGAACGACAGACGCGCGCTACCACGCCTGGCTAATTTATTGATGCATTCTAGCGACCAGGTCTCCCCAAGTTGCCCGGGCTGGTCTCGAACCCACGGGCTCAGGCAATCCACGCGCCTGGGCCTCCCAAAGGGCTGGGATAACAGGCTGAGCCACCGAGCCCTGCGGCTTTTTTTTTTTTTTTTTTTTTAATCACTTAGAGAGTCTGAAGTTTAAAGGGGCTATGTAATTGTTGCTAGGGTTAAACAACGAATACATTCCATAACGAAGTTTCCCATTTAATTACAGACATGCATCTCTTGCTTTTAGGGATACCCCTGCCCTGCTATAAGTCCTAGCAAAATAGAAAGTGCCATCAGAGAGTCACTATTATAAAACCATGTTCATGGTCAAAATACTGTATTTATTACTTGTATGTATTCAGCATACTTTTGCTTCAACCTTGGCTGCCCTGATTGCTCGGAGGTCCAAGTCCCTCATTGTGTCATCCCATGCCATCTCATAACACCTGCCCTCTTTTGGAGCACTCACCACACGGGAAGTCACATGCTAGCTTACAGACTCCCTGAGGACAGAACACATTGTCTGAATTGTTTCCTGCTCCATTCCTTGGCTTAGGACAGTGTCTAATATAGTAGAAGTACGCAATGGACTTTTGCAAAAGTGAGTGGAGCAGAGCGAAGCTAAAGATACAGTCTCTCGTCCTCAAGGAACCGAAGTAGCCCAAGGTTCTTCACCTGGGATGCTCCTTGGAATTACCTGGGGAATATTTAAAACGACTTATTCCTGAGCCCAGCTCCCCAGAGATTCTGCTTTAATGAGTCTGCTTTTCTTTCTTGTTTTGTGCTACGGTCTGTTAGTCTAGTAAGTGAGAACAGACGTCGCCTTTCCACAGAACTCCGTGAGGATGACACATGGCGAAATGGTGGCCTGGACAAGGGTGCGTTTCAAAGGTCCCAGGTATAGTCAGGGTTGAGAACCCTCAGTTTGTTGAGGATGTTGATGGCATTCAGGTGTGACACTGTACTTACTTCTCTGCCGAACCTGCCCGTCAAACAGTGTTTTGAATTTGGTGTGATTGGCACTTAATCTTTGCGACGTAGTTTCTTTGACTCCGCTTAAAGGACCTTTTTTTCCCTCCAGAATAATATCGCCAAAAATGATGATTGCCCTTGGTGAGTACCTTGGAGCGGACACTTGCATGTCTTCTTTCCAGGGGAGAGAGAACGCCAATGAACTTCAGGCTGAAACCGAAGCACCGGTAGCTCAAGCCGCCAATGTGGGAACCGAATAAAAAGTGTTTATGTGAAGCCGGGCTCGGTGGCTCAGCCTGTCATCCCGCGCCTTTGGGAGGCTGAGGTGAGTGGATGGCCTGAGCCCGCGGGTTCGAGA